CTTTACTCGAATCGAGTGGGGATTATAAGCGTCGATCAGCGGTTCTCCCTATGCAATTGTGTTATTATCGAACAACGATAAAGGACAATTATTAGGAATACCTTCTAATTGCTACAGTAGAAAAATAACGCTATCTCGTTGAAAGTCGAAAATATATAATATGGTAATACGTAATATGAATAATGGTATAGGAAGGTAAGGGCCTCGAAGGGAAATTTGAGAACAACTGGTGGTGGTATCGGGCGTCATCCGGTCCGCTTGTACTACTACTCGAGATAAAAGTGGGGGTTAAAACTAGCGCATGCCGTGTACAAAGTCGCGACTACGCAACATACTTGCGATGCGTACTACGCCGCTTCGTCTCCGAAAGAACAGGTCGTCGACTCGTATCACGACTCACTGACACGATTTTCCCATTCTTTCTTTCTCCCTTTCGCACGAATAATTACCGATTCATTAATTAACTCTCAATATCGTTCATAGTTTCGATCAATTTCCAGACCGACCGTCGAAATTCGTCGTTCCTCACGAAATTCTCTCTAGTATTGCTGAACACAATATAGCAGAGAAATGTTAAACGCCAGTAAGGGGTGTCGTTGAACGATAGGAAAACGGCACAAGTAGTTGCAGCACCAGCAGACGACTCGAGTCCTGACCACGAGATATTACAAATATTCCAAAACGTTCTAAATATTCGTAACTAATGCTATGAATCGTTGCTTCGATAACGTAGAATACGTATTTTCTCTACTACGACGCGTATATTAGTTACATTTAAATGATGCTTATTTCAAAAAGAAATGGGAGAGAAAAATATTTCTGATAGTAAGAAGTTGTTGAAGGAGGATAATTATTCGATATACCACAGGACACGTACCCTTTTTTACTATCTTTTTTCATATAACATATTTGCTAATGCTAAATACATTTTGCTCGTCTCTCTTTTTTTTTCTTTTCCAAGCTCCTCCCTACTCATCCCTTTTGATATCGCCAAGCTAGCTAGCCAGCCTGCCAGCCGCCACCATCTACACCGCCTCTTCTTTCACCTCCAACATCGTACACATTCGTAACCATGGCGATATTGATCGAGGTAGCGAGCAAGCAGGCACGCAGGAAAGCAAGCAGGCAAACAGCCAGAGAAGCAGGCTAGTCGGTTGCTCGCTTGGTTCCTTCAAGTCAACCAGAAACTGCCAGAGTTTGACAGATCCCGATCATAGGCACCGATCAAAACTAGTCTTAATACATGCGTTAATAAAACTATATTATCGGTTGTTGTGAAAATTTGCTCGATGGCTTGGAGGAACGAAGATCATTTCTTTGGCTACTTTATAAAACTTTGAGAAATAAGGCGCGCAGACAAATTAATCGATAAATCAGAAGAGATAATCCTAGCTAGTATCTCGAGGCGTTTTCATGAATACAATTTTGCTCGATTTTCCGCGCGAGTAACATGCGTCGTCGTCCTCCTTATATATGCATGATAGAATAGATCTACTTCAGAAGAACTACGTACATTTTAATATCAAAACGATATTAAAAAGACCTCTTAAGATCTAGGGATCTCGGGATTAATCCGCCACTGACAATGAGTAACATGCGCGCTCGCACGTACGCACGCACACACACACGTACTTAGGCAAAAAAAAGAAAAAGAGAGACGATCGCGGAGGCGCAATAGTCACAAGTATGCACACCCACTCGAACTGCATCCATTCATAAAAGTGGCGAAAGGCCGTAGCTGGGTTGGTTGGTTGACTGGCTCGCTACTGACGGCCTCGGCTGCTACGCATCGACGAACACGCGTGCATATGTATGCGGCATGTAAGAGAGAGAAAGAGAGATACATATGTAAATACGTACGTAATGCACTAACAATAAGAGAAAGAGAGAGAAATTGTGTGCTAATGGCCGATCGCTATCGATGCGCATAACCCGTCGTAGTAGATTGAAACGGGCTTCCCACGAAATTGCGTGCACGCACACACGAGTTCTTATTGCGAGAACGCTTCTCGACTTATTGAATCAGCTGACTTTGAAATTTCTCTATTGAAACTACCCACGATATAGAACGAATGCTATGGAGATCCCTTTGGAGAGACGACGAGTTTACCACAATAGCTACGTCAGTATCATCGAGCAAAGCGAAGACAAAGATAGTGTAAGAGCAAGACGGAGAGAAAGCAGACTCGAGTAAAGTCGCGTAAGGTTGAGGTTGGGATTAAGTAAAGTTAGATCGAGCTGGTAGACGACTAAGGCCTCAAAATAGCGCAGCACTCACTGTCTGGCTATGTGGCTGACTGACTATGTGTCTTTCTCTTATGTTAGTTGCAACCGGCATCGGTCAACAAGAGGTAGGACAGCGAGCTTCCACAGCCGCCGCCGAAACCTTCGTCATCCTTTGACTCAGATTACTCGATTTTCTTCCTTCCTAGCACACTTCCCTTTTTCCATTTCTGCAACCGCTAGCGCATTCAGCGCTGCATCAGCAGTTAAAAGATGAATCATTGCCATTTCTTCCGTTCTATTCCCAAGTATTCAAAGTCTAATCGACATTCCAAAGGTTATTTTCTATTCCTCCTACTGTTATAATATATTGCATTCTTCAACATACTTCTACTTATACGAATATGTAAAAGACTTGTACACATTTTTAAATGAGATAAAAAAAGAAAATTCCCTTTCTATTAATACTTGAAGCCAGCAACATTTATAAGTCACGCCCGCGCGATGATCGTATCTAATAATTGCTAACAGGAAGAGAGATATGGAGAGAGAGAGAGAGAGAGAGAGAGAGAGAGAGAGAGAGAGAGAGAGAGAGACGCAATAGGCGATAAGCACGAACGTGTACTCGCGAACGTACGTACGACCATGACCCAAATTTAAGCTTCCTCTCTTCTCTTCTTCTTTCATCCTACGCGTTCGATTCATTAAAAATTTGCGGAAGCTTTCGCGCAAAGTGGAACAAATCGGATACTTCGATAAAATATATACTCCTGTAATCCCATGCAACTTGTAACATGTATATACCTATCGTAGAAATCATACTATTACTTTTACATATCATTTTTGTCGATAGAAAAATATAAATAAAGACAATAGTGATTACGAATCTTATCATAGAAAGATTTAATCTGTAGAGACTTGCCAAGTGCGAGTGGATTCCTTCAAGTGAGGAATTCGGAAAAAAGAAAGGCAAGAATGTGAGAAAGGGCAAAAATAGGAGAAGAAGGCACGTTCCGCTTCGTTTCTAAGAGTTGATGCGGATGTATGTATATATAGCAGCGTATCATTAAGTCCGCACGTGAGGAAACTTGGCGCCGCGAAAGCTGGGAGCGCGTGTTACGCTACGCTACTCTCTCTCTCTCTTAAAAAAGAAAAAAAAGAAGCCAGCAATGCAACACAATCGAGCCAAGTCTTATCTCCTTACGTACAGCCCTCCCATCCTTCTCGCATTAGGCTGAAAACATTTCGTCAACCCGTCGTCGTTTATTGGACTCAGAATTTTTCATCCTATCCATGTATACTTTTTTTTCAAGTAAAATTACAAAAGATTTCATTTGTTCCTACGGCAAGAATCGTACTTTGTAGAGATTTTCAGAAGGTGTTATAGGAAAGTTTAGACTGGCTCGTAACTTTAATTTGAGCACAATAAGTATAGGTAAGTAAGTAGGTGAGGTACGCGTAGTAGACTGTCGCCGCGTTACACGTGGAACTCTCGGTAGTACTGAAAGCAACGAAGAAGTAGTCGTGAAACAAGAAAGGCGTACTTTTGTTTTATTTCTGTCTGGAAGGAAAATGGGTCGGGTCGAGGCGCGCTTCTCTTCTCCTCCTCGCTTGGAGAAACGACCACCGCCGTCGCTGCCGTTTCGCTCCCGTCAAAGGTCTTTCGACGAGTACGTACAAAAGTATAAACCTTGACGCCGAAAAAACGAAAGCAAGGAAAAAGGAACCGATCCCACGCTAGAATTACATTTTCCCACCAAAGAGAAATATAATTTTATGCAAGAAAATATGTAATATATATGATATATAAAATGACCAACCACGTTCAACCTTAACTTTAACCTTAACTTTAACCTTAACTTCAACCAACAACAGCATAAATATGCAACGAAGTATTGTATTGTCTCTAAGATGAATAATGCATTATGAATTGAACAAATGCAACATCATATCTTTTTTATTCTACCATTTGATCTCTTCTTTACTATTACACGTGGCTTATTAAAAAAATAACAGGTGACCAGAGGCAAAAAAAAAACAACGACAACAATAACAATGATGATGATGATGATGATGATGATGATGATGATGATGATGATATACTTATCAAACATTATGTGTACGAAAGTATATATTTTGTTTAAATAGAAACACCATTGATCGGTGGAAGGCTATTCGAGATCTTGCTTCTCATGCAGTATCTTCCTCTCCAAACAAAGTGTTTCAATGAAATGATGAGTTATGTGCATACAATTCGAACGAACGAACGAAGCGAAAAAGGGGCTCTTAGAGGGTGTAAAAAAATAATAAAAAAAATATTTTAAAGATAGAGAGGAATAGAAGAACTCGTTCGGTGCTAAGTAGTACAAGTTACAGATTGTATAGATTACTGATCGATATAGAGACTTCCTCCAGCACAGATAACATATTGGAGGAAGTATTACATTATTCTCATAAGGGCACAACTAAAGGGTAAAATCAAGATATCGTCCCTATAAATAAATCGATCCGATCGTTGTTTTATATCAGATGAAAAGATTCTAATACGATGAATGATACCATCCGAAGAGTCTTGTCTTGGATCTTGAATCGGTCTAATCAACGATACGATATTGATGGAATCAAAATATCTAGTTTACGTTATAAACTGTGGTCATCGAAAAAATAAAGTTTTCAGATAGAGGCGTTGTTGATAGAGTTTGACTGTAGACAAGGGTACCTGAAATTTCGACGAATGCATTAGAGTTTGCAAGGGAAAAGCAATTGAATTCGCTTACCTTGGAAAGTTTCTCGCCCTCGTGATGCGGCAGCAACGTCCTAAGAGATTGGAAACCGGCGTTGATGCTCTGCATGCGACGTCGCTCGTTGCTATTGGCGATTTCTCGCCGTATCCGCTTTTCCTGCTCCATGTGGCTACGTGGCGTGACACGTCCAACAACGTTATTACCATTCAAAGCAACGTTTTGTCCTCCTCCTCCTCCTCCTCCACCACCTCCAACACTACCACCAGCACCAGCACCAGCACCAGCACCAGCAGCACCACTAACAACACCAATACCACCGACACCACCAGAACCGACACCACCAACAGCACCTCCTCCTAGGCGACGACCTGCTGCTACCGCGTTGCTACTCTTCGATTGTTGTCGTTGTTGCTGATTATCTGTGGCCTCGACGGCCGCCGTTATACTCGTCACCGAGCTCTCCTCCACTTTCTCGATGCTACTGCAATCAAACGTATACGCTATAATAATCAGAGTTATATAGAATGAACATTATGCAATAATATAATATTTGAAACTTATTAAGAAACGACACGTGCAACGTAGGGCACCACCATGGGCCAGCCATTAGTTTTTAACGAGACATTCCAAAAACAATACTCTAAAATATGAATGAATAAAATATAGATTAGATTCGCGTAGCAGCCGTATCTAAAAAGTGAAACTCGTAGAAATGTGTAAAGGCAAGCTTCCATTCGCTATTAATATACACACGCGCGTGTCAAGAGTTATGTACGTATAGGTAGGCAATCGGTCACAATCAAAGAGACATACTTATATACATGTATGCATGACGATATAGAGATAGAGAAAGAGAGAATCGTGGCTCGTAGTGGTAAATCGTGGATCGTTGCTGACGATATACGACGTTTGACTATCTCTCTCTTTCTCTTACCCTGGGCTCGCGTGAGTCACCAACAGCTGATGGCTGGCGCCACTCAGCTGGTTGTTACCGGTGCCCGAGCGTCGCTATCTCCAACCGTAGCGATCAGCTGCAAGCGAGGGAGAGAGATGTCGTCTACGGTAGCTCTAGACGAACGAAACAACGAAAAGAACCTTTGCACCATATACAGGGTGTCTGTCTCCCTCCGTGACCGGTCATTCTCGCGCAAATGTCAAATAAACTCTAACAAACAATCCTATCCGTATACTTTCGATTACTCTATCTAGATCTAATCGTTCTTTATCAATAACGATTGATAATACCCAGATATATCTCGATTAGCTGCAACGATGTATTTTTGTCGACTGCTAATTTCGATTAGGGATAATTGGAAAATTTGTTGGGCCCCTTGCAGCATTGCAGCAGTTCTGGGGCCCTGATGGAACGCGCGACGCGATTCAAGAATGAGGATGAAGAAATCGGGAAGGACCGAGCATATATTTAGAAATTTCCGATAGGCGCCACGTCGAGTCATTTGTGCTACGTCTCTCTACGTTTTCTTCTTCTTCCTCAACCCTTTCATTACTTACACCATTTCCATATAATAGGGCAATCGCCTAAAAGTTAGTTAACCTCCTCTGGTGTTCTCTTCGACTTCGAAATGCAGGACAATATATATATGGAGCGTGAGAGGTCAATAAAGAAATCATTGTTGTCTGGGGGTAAAATTATACAATCAAATTACACATTCGTATTTTTCACGCGAATCCTCTTCCAAATAATTAAATAAGACTTTTTCGCAATCTACATACTTGGTTTTTGCAGCCGTAGCAAAATATCTACGACCCTAACATGCTTAATACTCTGTACAAAATATATGTCCCGTAACGAGATAGCGACGTGTTATGCAGTTACGTCAGAATTTGCGACAGGTGTTAAGCCCATTCCTAGACGAGGCCGGAAAAGTGCAAAATGAATGCGGTGCAACTGCGGGTTCAACGGCGTATGCAACGACTGGTGCAACGGACTGGTGCAACGACGCGACGATACGTCGTATGCGTGTACGAACCACTAACAAGTCGACACCCCTACACAATATCGAAAAGAACAAAATATCGATTATATTATAGTTGTACATTCATTACGCAACTTTTACGTGATTCTCGGGAAATGATGATTTACCAAGTAGGATATATTTATGCGTGCATCGATTCTATTAATTACGCATAATACTAAAATAAATGTAATATTATGGCGTGCGATATTCGATACTGTCATACACCATATTTCGTTAAAAGTTCTTCCCTACCAGTCCCCTTATTTGCAACACTATTTTATCTTTTAAAGTGTAACAGGACGAGGATTCGTTTCGACTTGTTTAGGGTAAGGGGTAGGGTAGGGGCTTTCTAGAGGGAAGAAAAATAAGCCTTAAATTACTAAGTATTTGCGAATGTTCTTAATGATTTAGACAAGAATAGAAGTATATTTTTGCTCTCTCGCGTTATTTTTCATGGCTATCATCGTAAACGTTACGCGATCATTTATGATTCATCTTTTGTCGCAAGAACGCTTTCGCTGACCACGAGCATCGCGCGACGATGTCAAACATATGTAAACAAGGAATCGAGCTGCTGATGCACGATATGTGCTTCGAGTTATTTATAAAAGTCGATTATTGTGTAAGAAACGCGGCTTTTACGTAACGCGGCGGTGGCGGCTGATCTCTGTCTATTCTTCCGTCTATCCTTCCGTCTATCCTTCCGTCTATCCTTCCGTCTGTTGCCCGCTGGCTATCTCTTCTATTTTCCTTTTTCCACGAGATAAAAGGGACTATTCTAGTTTGTCTGGTCACCAAAATTTATCGTGACCTGTGCAAAGTGAACAAAATAAAAAAGGAAAACGGCAATAAATTTTCTTTTCACTGAAACAGAAAACGCCCACGCGCACAAACTTAGCAATGATGTAAAAGAATGGGCATTTAAAGATAGTAAGAAAAAACGTTGGAGAAATTAAAGCAACGTTGAAACAAATTACATGTTCGCAAAGGACATTTAAATATAGAATCAATGGCGGGAGACGGGGCCTGGGGCGGGGGGCTAGGTATAAAAAAGAAACAGGTTGTAAAATTAATTCGTAGAAAGAAGTGAATCGCGTATCAGGTGAACGTAATTCATAAAGTATACAGGTATATCGAAATCTGAAAGAAAAAAAAGGAAGCGAGCGAGAGAGAGAAGAAAAACAATCGACCGTCGACTGTCCGCGCCATACTTGTTTGGGCGTGAACCCATGGCCGGCGTACAAATTCACGTCGCTTTCTCGTCAGTGAGTGTATACGAGTGCGCTCGTTCACTCGAAATTTGTAAAACATAAAAAACGGGACGAATACAAAAAATAGAAGGAGAGGACAAGATATGATGGAAGAGAGGAAAAAGAATGAAGGGAGGGGCCCGCGAAGGAAAGGAGGAAAGAAAGAGAAGGCTAATAGGTCGCAAGCGAGAGAGAGAGACGTCGCAGGAACGTCGCAGGAACGTCGCAAGTTAAAACACCGGCCGGCGCGGCCGGCCGGCCGGCTTCAAACAGCTGGTCATCGAGGACGGTAAACTGTTGGCTTTGCTAGAGAAGGCAATCGCGAACGGAGCCGATAAGCGTCGTTCGAAGATACCTTGTCGTCCGCCAAACGGAATAACGAAAGAAAAAGAAAGAGAGGAGAGGGAGAAAGAAACAAACTACAGGAACTTCTCGCGATAGAGACGCGTCACGCATTATATGTCCAGAGGCAGAAGGAGAGAAAGAGAGAACCGGCGATCTGGTAGTGGGAGAAAAGAAGGAAAAAGGAGGGGAAGACGGATTGGCTAAGAGGTTCGGCAAAGAAGAACAGCCGATGGAAGGGCTGGGACGTAACTAGAAAGAGAGAGAGAGAGAGAGAGAGAGAGAAAGAAAGCGCGCCAACGTGTGCGTCCCTTCTTTCTCTTTCGCTCTCTGAAGAATGTTCCCCCCCCCCAAAGACAACTATATTGCATCGATTAGAGCGAGAAAGGAATGTCTTGAATAAAATAGTGTTTGCACTCACCCGCAGAGTTCAACCTCGTGTTCTTCGGTATCCGCCTCGACGATTTCTTCAAGCAAAATCCGATCGTCAGTAGTAAAAACTGACATATCTTGAAGCGCACCGAGAATCCCGGTCCGCGACTCAACAAGCTCCCAGCAGCAGCCGCCGTTGTCGCGGTAGACGCGAGAAAACGTCGCTTCCGCCTCTTCTTCTTCTTCCTCCTCCTCCTCCACCGCCACCTCCGCCACCTCCTCCTCCGCCTCCTCCTCCTCCACCTCCTCGACCTCCGCCTCCTCTTCTTCTTCTTCTTCTTCCTCCTCTCGCACGACGACACACTCCACTACGGACCGGAAAGAAAGAACGCGCGCGCGCGCGCACGCTCTCCTTGACACGGCGGCGAATTGTTACGCGTTAATGTCTACGCGTGATACGCGACAGACAAGAATACGCTCTTTTTTTTCTCCCTAGAAGCCCCCTTTCTCTCAGTCTTTTTATACGTTCTTGATGTTGGCGAAGGAAATTGAACGGATAAAAGGAAAATGTCGAAACGTCGATGATAAAATACGAAGAAGCGAGCGATCACAACTGTAGCGGCAATGCACTGATATATTCCACCATTGAAATAGTCACTACGACGGAGGACGCGCGCGATACGCTAACACACAACGGCCGAACGCGTTTTGTAATGGCGATCTTTGGCGGGAAACAGCTGAGGGCCCCCACGACGCGTGCGAATTACTCCGCCGTTGCCGCCGCCACCGCCGCCGCTAGTTCAGGGCCGTTCGTAAACGCCGGCCACGCCGAGCACCCTGTACCACGATATCTTCTCGCCGGGCTTCTTCTTCTTTCAATTTTTCCACTTTTCTATTATTACATGTCTTGATTCTTTCCCTCTTCCTTTTTTATCGAATTCGTCAAATAATTTTTACTAATTAAAAATGTTTCCAAGTATCTCGGAAAGGTAAAAAAAAAAAAAAACGTCGATAGTAGGTAGGTATGTATTAATTGTCTGCATTCAATAGCGGCTTTTTTTTTTATCGTGGTCGCATCATCTAATGTCGGTAACATTTAACTCTTTCATTCCGACATGTCGCACAACGTACTACTACCCTTTCACCAAAACACACCGGCTGAAGCATGCTGCTGCAACTGGAGGAAAGAAACTCTTTTACGCTTGGCCTCGCGATATGTCAAGGACACGACAAAATTGCATATCGAAAACGACACACCTTCCCGTACGAAAGCTGCATCAACAACTTGTGAACCAACTAAGCAACGCATTGACGAGCGTGCGTGAGACTCGAGACGATTACGTCACCCTTTGAAAATCTAGTCTCTCTCTCTCTCTCTCTCTCTCGTTCTCTCGTAATACGCATACACATTCTCCCTCGTTTCTCGAAAAGTTCGATGGCCCGTGCACGGGGCGATTTGCGCGCTTCGCGCTACCCTGATATTGAAGACCCTTACTTCGGACCAATCCGAAGGTAGCTCGTCTCTCCTCTTCTTTTATTTCCTTTCTTTCCCTCTCTCTCTCTCTCTCTGGCGCGCAAGACTAAAGGTTGGCGCCGCGCACCCCGTGTTCGCGTCTTCATTCCTTTCCTATCGTCATTCGGCCTTTACCATTAGTCAAATTCTTCGATCGTCCGACGGGAACTATTTTCGCGTCGCGTAGCTTTACGCTAAAGGAATGATACGGCCGCGCGGGAAACATCTGCCAGCTGGCGATGACTCCGCCCATAGAGTACGCCACTATCCCCACCCCGCATCAACATACATGGCGTAGGTGTATATGTAGACCAGAGTAGGGTAGAATAGGGTAGGATAGACTTATAGAAACCTATAGTCGACAGATCCTAGAACAGTGATACTATTCCTTTACTCCTATTCACGTCTCTTCTCGTCTCCGCTGCTTCCTTCGTTATCTTCTCTTGTCACGATTACACGAGGAAGAGAGAACAGCGCCACGTAACGTAAATATCATCAATGATGAGAGCTAGCGAGTACACGTGTACTCGGTTTTCACATACCTATATATGCACGTTTCGTACATATATACTTATGTGGAGCATGCCTTTTGCCAAGCTCACGATGTCCCCACGATCGCAATAGGAAGATTTCTCTATTTTTCGTGAAATCTATCAATTTTGCTATTAGATATACTTTTCCTTCAATCATAAACATCGGAGCGATACCAAAATCTCGCGTGGGCTTCGTAAAACATGCGTGCACACACCTTTTCAATCTATTTCTAGATAATTTGATATTTCTTCGATACTAAATGTTCTTCAATATTCCATACTTCAATCCTAATTATTTTATTTCGAATACGACAAAAATATAAGGATGTGTGTACGCGTATTCACGTAGTTCTAAACAACTCTGCTACCATTGTCCTTTCTTTCTCGATACATACTTTTTTATTATCTTTTATCTTCATTCAATTCAAATCAAATGAAATATTTCTTTTTATTCTTTTTTCTCATTATAAATATGATGCCAAGAATATCCCCTTTTCTTGCTTTAAATTATAAGGAATGGTATTACACGCGAATGGAACAATGCTTACGCTATCTTATGTAAACAATGTACTTCCGTCATTATTTGCATGTTCTTTACAATATGTGTAAAACATTAATCCTTAATCAATTATTATTTATTCTTATATAAAAAAGAAATATAAGTATTAAGAAGCTTATAGAAAAAAAAAAAAAAGAAAAAAAAAAGCATCAATCCGAATTAGCTTCAAATCTATCATACCGATAAATACTTTTATACACTATCATCGAAATATATCAACTGTATTCATATTTATTCCCCATAGTTCGGACTATAAGTAAAAAAGAAATATATTACACTTAATAGATGATAAGTGGCTTCTTATGGGTTACAATTGTGAATACAGTTTGCGTGGTTCGAACTTCTTTCAAATAATCTATGTTTAAAGTAGGCAAAACAAATTTCTAAAGAAGCATCAAAATATGATTAGATCATTTACAATGCATATTTTCTTTTTCTTCGACGAATTTGAAAACGGAACCAGACAATATATGCAGACAGCATATATGGAAATAGATTATGCTTTGTGACAAGAGCAATCGACCAAATTTCTACTTTTTAACGCAGCAGATATCACAGGCTGCATTTATAATCTATGTATTGTAATATATAATATAATTTACTTTTATGATCTATGACTTATATTTCCCTGCACCATATATCCTTTTACACCTGTTTCTTTTGTATCCTCTTATTGTTAGTAACATCTATTTAATGATTGCAGTAATACTATGCAGTTGTTCTAGTATACGTTCAATAATACTCAAAGATTTGGGTAATAAGTTTTACGAGTCATGCTATTCTTGAATGAATATTTAGCGAAATTTTGCCAACTGTTAAAAAACATAGCTTTTGGAACCTGTCCGAGTCTGTCAGTTTGGAAAAAATCTGAGTCTCGCGACTTATTTTCTTCATACTACTAACAATTAAATAGCTGTAATCCAAATTTTATGGCTATTAGAAGGTTTTGTACTCGTAAACGCATTGTTAAACAATGAAAATAGTATAAATATTATAAATATTAATTTCTTACTTAATCAAAAAACATTTATACCTTATTATCCAAAAATTGGATTTAAATCGAATTGCAATTGGATTGAAATTGGATTGTAAGATGCTAACATTTCCTCATTTATCCTACAATATATTTTATACATTTTCACAATATCTGTTGAATGTAAAAGAAAATTAATATATCTTTTATATTTTTTAGTATAAACATCTCGTGATCAATTTTGTTCTTAATTCTTAACTAATCCAAATTTTCTATTTAATAAATTTCGCTAGACCCAGTGCACTTTAGATGCCCGGAAACTATTTAGACTGTAGCTTAGCGTTTACTTCTTTGTGACAAGGTTCTACAATCAATGGATAATTTGTCTCTGAGTTAATCAACAAAATTTGTTAAAATGCCAGATATAAGGTACAAGTTCGAGTTAATTGCTACAATGTTTTCAAAAACAGTGAATAAATAATAAGAGTAACCTGCGTTACTCTGTGGTACTAAAATAGTATTTTATGAGTCAAAGCTGAGTTATTCTTATATTATATTTTTATCTATTTTCTTTGATTTTTTTTTCACTGTATTGACGAGTAAGTACCGCATTAATATTGCGTACCCTAACGTACATTCATACAAACGCATCAGCCAATTGGTAATAATTGTCATGTGCTATTAATGCCATACACTACTTTTTTTTCCATTTGTCACTTATGCCTCGATATTGTATTATTCTTAAAATAATATTTACAAGCAGAAAAATGGATAACTTACATCCCTTTAGCTATGTACAAATATATTAATGGAAATTGTAATCTGGCACAAACTAATGAAAGTAGTAGTCCATTCGATTATACTGAAAAATTCAGATATTAATGATATTTTTATAATCGTTATTATTTATGAAATAATATCATCGATAAACAAATACTATTTTGTACTTTATCATATTACATTATTTTATCTTATTTCACTTACTTTGTCTACGTGTAAACTGTAATACAGAATTTCTATAGTTCTTACATTTCATCTCTAAATTGTATTTCGGTTGAAAAACATTTCTTTCTGACTTTACCGATAAATGGCTGGTGCATTTGCATTCGATGAATTTAACTGACTCATGGATTTACAAATTATGGCAATACAGGGAAAATAACTCGCTAAAATGAAAACCTCCTAGGTAAAATAAATCACATATTTATAAATACAAACAAATTTAAAATGCATATATAAAATCTTATCTACATATTAATGTTAAATGTATCCAAGTATTCTGAATTATTTTGTACATAATATTGATTTCGAATAGCTTACTTTAGCGTCCATTTACATTAGCGTCCAATTATGTATTCAATCAAATTCTCTGTTCTTAGGTTTTAAAGAAAAAATAAAGAAATACAAGAAAATAAGAAAACATGTCATTACTTGCCCAAACAAATTACTGTCAGAAGGATATTAAACGGAGTGCAACTTAGATGCAACATGTGATGACTTAAACGTATCCACATGCCTTACCTGTAAATCCATGTTTAATCTATTTTTCAGTTGAAACTTATTCATAATATCAGCTATATACTAAGTATGTTATAATAATTTTTTTAGTCCTAGTTTCAATCTTTCCTGAGCTGGATTTACTTTGATTTTTAATTGCTGAATAAGATCATAAATTTTTAAGGAAGGTCCAACTTTGAAACCCGTTAGGTCTATTATTTGGTCCTTTGTTAGAGTTAGCAAAGTATTCCCATCAATTTTGCGTTTGCTAAAATTGTCACAGTACGTTGCACAATCATTGACACGGAGAAATTGAGCAACATCAAAAACATTCCATTCAGATGGCACCAAATCACCACAATCTGAACCTTTTGGAACAACGTCAGCTAACCTTGGAATATATTTTGTATTTCCTGAAGTTACCTAAAATGATAAATTTCTCAATTAGATTTTTACTTAATAATGTTTTTTTGTCCCCCTATAGAAAAATCTAATAATAGAAACTTAAATTACATTGATGTACGATGTCGCGATTCTTTCTTTGGGTGGTGGAGGGCTTTGCACATCACTTTGCATATCGCTCAATGCTTGACCTTGTCCACTCGTTGGACTAGGTAAAGTTTGATCAGGGCCAGCAGGTTCTTCTGCCGGTTCTGGTTCTCTACTTCCTTGTTCCGGTAAACCCTCAAGATCGCGTTCTCGTTCAATTTTTGTTCCTTGTGCCGGTTCTAATTCTCGTTCACGTTCACGTGCCATACTAATACGTTCACTATGACGAGGTAGAATATTTTTTGCGCAAAATACCTTGCTTCCTTTTTTTACTTTTTTCTTAGATTTACGTTTAAGGCCTCTTGGTGATTTTACTAGAAAAAGGATTATATAGTATATAAATATTAGAATTATATATATAAATAAAGAACAAATAAATATTAATATTTGTGCTTATATATAAATAAATACCAGTAGGACTAGTGTTTTTAACGAGTACACGGGGCCCCTCTAATTTATGATCTACAAGATCGCACCAACCAACTGGATAAATATCTGGACTCTGACAATCTAACCACTGATCATATTCATCTTCCCAACCATCAAAATGTACCCTCAACAATCGACCGATCACTCTGGTGATAGTAGCAACGCATACTAATCTAGGATCCATCAAATCGGCAGCTTCCAGTCTCATACCTTCGATGAATCCATGTTGGGGTATTTCCTATATAATATATAAATATATAACATTCATATTATTTAATCAAATACTTCAATTTAAATCAAACTTCCAACTATACTATTATAGTTACCCTGTTAAATAATTGTACAGGGGCTGGTACAGTGTTTGTTTCTATCAAGTATGCGTCCCACGTAAAGGTGGTTGAATCATAACCTTTTGGCGGTGTAAGCGGTAGGCCATGCTGAGAACAAAATCCAATAGGAAAGATACAGGGAGAACATGAATGATAGCAAAACCAATCGGCACCACTAGCATCTTCGTCATAACTATCAATACGAATCATAATATAATCTTCTTTTAGAACTTGCATAACTGTGGCTGCACAGATAGCAGAAAGATTAAGAGGATCGATAGCTTCTATTTTCATTCCTTCTCTAAAAGTATATCCTAGGTGGAGATGATGATTCTTTGGCACATGAAAAAGACCATCTGTAGCATCATCTTCACACAGTTTTGCTTTAGAAATGCGTTCTAAATATTCAGGATATGCATCTAACGTTTGTCCTACTCTCTTTGCCCAACCAACAGGATGTATAAGAGGAGAGTCTTCGTGACACCAGAAACCATTATCTTCGGGTGGTGAATCATAATATCTTACGTGCAATCGCTTACCAACAATTTTTTGTATTGTAGCTACTTTAACTTGAGAAATTCTGTTTTTATCTACTACTTCTAAATGAAGCCCGCATCTAAACCGAGATTTCATACTGTCATTAACTTTATTATAGAAATTAGTTGTTAATGTTCTTGCACCGGTTAACCTTCTTCTTAAAAAGTCCTTCCAATCTTTGTACTTATTAGCGATAGCTGTGAAAACACATATAAAATTAAATTGTATGATATATCTAATGTTAATGCTACTATTTTATATACAATATATAAAATATATAAAACATATAAATAATCGTAAAGTACTTACTGTTTGGTGGTATAAGCGGTTTCCCAATTGTGGCACACCAACCAACAGGGTGAATATCGTTAGAACAAAGTGATACCCAAAAATCTTTCTCTGCATTATGGCCAAATCCTTCATACCTCAATAGAGCTCTATATCCAGATATGCGTAATACAGTAGCAACCCAAAAAGAGTCTGGAAAAGCTTCGCATACTTCGTCGCAGTCAGTATTTTCAACTTCGACTTTCATACCCACTGTTATGTTGTCCCATATTTCGGATATGGGTGCCTATGTATCAATACAAATTTTTAATATATTACTTGTTGATCGTAAGCTGTTGTGCACTTAAACTTCAAACATTTATAGTTGTGGAATAAAAGGCTTACGTGTTTAAAACAAGAAACTGGTGCAGCACAAAATCCAGGTTCAACTAAATGCGGGGTCCAATCATAGGAGCCTGCCATTTCTGCAGTTCTCTTCCTTCTTACTGGTAAATCTTCAGGCATTACAGGTTCCGCTATAACTTTTTCTTCATCTTCTTTGATAGGTTCGCTCAACTCTATTTCTTTTTTTATTACCTAAGAAAAATTGTTAATTGAGTAATGTTTCTCTATATTACATATCAGGGCATACATATTAAAGCTAATTACAATGTATTGAGAAAATTATAACAAACTATAAATGTCATAACTGAACTGAAGAAAAGAGCACAATATTACGTGTTGCATCGAATTTGAAGGAAATGATGAGACAGCTAAAACCGTCTTTAAGAAATATTCAAAATCTCTAAGAAATATTCTTACATCTTTAGCAGATTTTGTATCAGTAGGAGACTTTGCATTCATAGCTGTTGTTGGTTCTATGGGATACGATGGGCTATACGTTGAATCTGCAGTAGAAGCAGTATGTTCCGAAGAACGTGCGCATGCTCTACTACAAAATCTTCGCTCTTTTGTATAAAATGCATGTTTAACTCCAATAGCACCACATTTTTCACAAACAGCTAAATAAGGAAAAAAAAAGGATTGTTTAATGCATATTTAATAATACAGGATTAAATATAAATGATATCGTTTTAGAATTACCTATGCCATCTTTACGAATAGGAATGAAGTTTAAATCGGTATGCGGTTGATAGGCAATTGGTGTCTTTAAAATAAGCCCAGGATGTTTTATAGGCTTTATTTTCCGATTTCGTAACAACGGTGAGCCATCATGAGTAGTTTGAGTTGCTGCATTACTTACTACCTGTTCTCTATCATCGTCAGCCATATAATCTTCTAATGTTAAATATTCACTCATTTCTTGTCTTTCCGATTGCGAGTCATATTCCTAAATATAAATTTATAATTGCACAACTACCAAGTTATCCTTTAAATCTATATTATTATTAAAAAATGGACGACTTACTTGTTGCATCTCTTGCGTATCCATAGTTTCCATAGTTTCATCCGGTTCTGAACACTCATTGGGATATTGAGGTGCTAAATATCGTACCATCGCTGTAGGAGCAATTTGATGACTCCGAAGATCTTCGTAAGCATGCGAACCATGAGAAAAAAATGGACTTTCGCTTTGACGAGGGTCTAACATTAGCTCGTGTGTAGGTTCTCCGTGTACCATCATGTCCCCCATCCATACCATCCCTAATTCTGGCATTGCAGAGATGGATGCATAAACTGTAATCATACAAACATCCATTCTTATATTTGCATCATTATTTAAACGTTTACTTTTAAGTAAATCTAACGAAATTCAGATAAACGAAACGGACCTAAGCGCATTACTATATATATATATATATATATATATATATATATATATTTACTTTATTTACTTAATATTTAATATATAGCATATAATTTTTCTTATACTACAGGATATATCAAATTATCGATATAATCATGCACATTTAATAACACGAATTAGACGAAATTTCAAATCAAATGGAAATACAATGTGTGTATTTTAATATGCCGCTATAAATATATGTGAAATGTTATTTAACCTTAATTCACAGTTTATTGGACTTAAAATTAGATAATACGTATTTGACGCCTATTATCATCATTGTTCTATCCTGAATAAAATGATTATTAAATATCTAATGACGATGATCAAAAGTACTTAATATATTTGAAAAACACATACGAACCATTCGAAGCTTGCATGTCCATGACAAAGCGTTCTTCGTTAAATCTGTCAATGCTTTTAACCGGTATTACCGTTCTTTATGTTTCTTACATAGTATCTGTTCCATCTCGATTGATGTATAATACACCATTCATGAAAAACACGGCTAGTCTATTTAGAGTCACTTAAAACCTATTCATTTTCCGCGACATTGTGAACAATAGGGCAAAACATTAGGCGGTAGGCATTCGCTTCAATACTACTCGCTTCACTATCTTCATTTTCAGTGCTGACAATCTTTAGGAAAATATAACTAGACGATACGTTTCCAATCAATTCGCCATTATTTTCAAATTTCTTTTCACTATTATAGTAATATATCTGCATCTAATTATTAGATACTATTTATGTTAGATATTTACTAATACTTGTAATACTAAACAACAGGAAATTGCATTAATTAATGTTAAAGGGATAAAAACGACATGAAAAAATACTATCTTATTTTTTTAGGAGGAATTTCGTTACTCGTCTCGAGATGAGTATACATATATATATACATTTATTGCAATTCATTTTAATACATATATGTGCGTATCAATTTACGTTATTATACATACAGAGGTTTTTTAAATATTATGTATGTTATATAAGTACATATCTATATGCATATACACTTAATGATATATAGAAAATAAAAGTATAATTTTTTTTATAAATTATCATTAATTATCATATAATTACATTACACTATATATATATATATTATATACGTATTTATACTACGGAAATCTGCTCTTTAGTTTAATAACTATAAAGGTTAATATCTATACAATACTTTAAACTTTATTCGTACAGTGAAAAATAATTTGTATTGTTAATAAAAACTTAAATCTTATATATTTTTTATTGATACGATATATCACATTAAAAAAAAGCACTGGAAGCTATGCACTGTTATTTCTTGAGTAAATTTGCTTTCTCATGCTTTCCTATCTAACTTTTTTTTACGTAATATAATGTTTATATACGTGCATATTTTCTTTAAACGTGTGTATATGAAAAAATTAGCCTCTTTATAAATACTCTTTTGTACTTTTTCATTTGTATTGAATTTTTGCTCAATACATTATTTAATTTGTAGAAATTGCAGTTTAACTAACAAGGCAGAAGATATCAATCGTCCAATGATGGAAAGAAATCAACAATTTGAAGAATTAAAGTTATCCGTACCTTGGGGACATATCGCTGCTAAAGTGTGGGGTCTTTCAACCGATAGAAGAATTCTAGCAGTACACGGAATTTTAGATAATGCTGGTACATTCAACAGAATTATTAAATTTCTTCCAAAGGATTGTTATATAGTGTGTATAGACTTACCAGGGCATGGATTTTCATCGCATTTTGATTTGGGTGTACCACTTAATTACTTTAGTTATGTATTGACTATACATCATGTATTAAATGCATTACAATGGAATACTTGCATTTATATGGGTCATAGTTTTGGTAGTCATATAGGTACAATGTTTTCTATTCTCTATCCGAAAAGAATTGAAAAATTGATATTATTGGATTCTCTAATGCCAATGCCAACATTACACGAAGATCTTATTTCTAGTTTACAAGAAGTTTGCGATATTGCTATTAAAGCTGATGAGAATAAAATACCTCGGTTATATACCAAAGAGGAAGTGTTATATGCTTTGAAATATACAAGATTTTCAGCATTAAATGCAGAAGCTGCAGAAGCATTATTTGAAAGAGGTTTAACACAAATCAATGATCTATATAAATATAATCGTGACATTAGATTAAAGAGATTTGTAGTACCTTTCTTTGACATAGATCAATTATTAACGTGTATTAAAAAAATTTCAACTCCATGTTTAATTATTTTATCAAGTTCTTCATTAGATATGTACAAATGGCAAACATATATTTTAAATCAATTAAGGAATTATAATAACACTTCTAATATAATTTATGTTAATGGGAATCATGATGTCCATAATAATTATCCAGAAAGAGTAGCGCCACATATATGCAAGTTTTTGGGTAGTAATAATAAAAGCAAACTTTAATGGGTTTAATAGAAAAATATTTTGGTGTTGGGTGCTGTGTGTGATTCTTATTGTCTATTGTTTTGATATTTACGACATACTGGGTTTTACTGGGTTGGTGGTTAGTCTTATATAGACTTAAATTTAAATCGAATATTTGATCTATCTGCAAAATTAGAGTTAGTTTTAATAATATAGTATACTATTGCAAATATATCTTGCAAGTAAATTACCTTATATTCTTTTACTTATATTACTTTATATCTTATTTTATATACATTAATATATTCTGCAATCTTGTAACTTATATATTCATCTTTAATATTTGCTATAACATTAATGTATTAATTAATATTTATATATTGGAATTATTAGTAGATATATATATATATATATATATATATATATATATACGAATATAAACAAAAAAAAGATAATATATAAACTTGTTGTATATATTTCTACTAAACAAAAACATTAAATTTGAATTTGCTTGATGCGTTTTACGATTGCACATGCACCAACAATGCTACCAACTTATTGCTAGTGAAACAAAAAATATAACTACTCTGTTGAGAAGGAAGCTGCTGCTTGTATATACCATTATTTGTATGTACATATCTATTATTCGACTGTATACATATGACATATTACAAAATTTAGAATCATCTACATATTACCGGTATAGAAATAAAAGCGACTCGAAGAAAATAAGCTAATATTGCTTGTTATTACTACATTTTCTCAGTCAAAAGACCACGAATTTGATTTAACTTGAAATGGATCAAGAACTTGTCGATAAATTTATGGAAATAACTGGTAAGGTTCTATAAGCTTCTATTATTTTCTCATTTTTATGCTTTCATTATTTACTTTTCAACAAATAAATACAAACATTTACCTTTCTCATTTCTTAACATTATTATATTACATTTTACAAATATTTTACATATTACACAATTAAAGTTATTAAAAATCTATTAAGATATTGTGCTTCAATTGGCAATGTTATAATAATTTTCTTTTCGTTTCTTTAGGAAAAAATGAAGCTACAGCGTGCCAATATTTATCATTAGCGGATGGAAATGTAGAAATGGCAGTAACTTTGATGTTTGAAGAAGGACAAATGTCTCAAGTTGAAACAGTAGATTCTGAGCCAGAAGTACGGCCTCCTATATTACCTAGACAAGAAATATTGGTTGATTCCGAACCAATGTTTTCTATTCCAAGGTTGCCTAATGCTTTTGATAGATTTAGAGATTTTGCTCTTGAAACACGTATGTATTATATTTTCTGATCTATATCTATATTTATCGATTACAATCATGAGTAAATAATGTTTTTTGTTTAATTATAAATTACATTATAAATCTAGTTAAATAAAAGATAAATATTTTTTCGCTCGTTACTTACAGAACGACAAGAAGAAGAAATGACCTTAAGAGTTTCCGGTGTAAAAGAGAGCTCTCAACCTAAATTGAAACGTTTAGAAGATTTGTTTAGACCTCCGAAAAATATTTTATTCCTTGGTACATTTGTGGATGCAAGGGAGCATGCGAAATCTTTAAATCGTTGGTTACTAGTCAACGTTCAGGATTCTCAGGAGTTTGTTTGTCAAGTTCTTAACAGAGATGTGTGGTCTAATGAACAAATTCAAGAAATTGTTAAGGATCATTTTGTTTTGTGGCAGGKATACAGCGATTGATAATAGTTATCATTATTTTATTTGAAAATAAGCCATTTATCTTATTTTCAATCTTATCGGCTTTTTCAATAGGTTTTATCAAATACTAAGGATGGAAAGAATTACATAGATTTTTATAAAGTTATTGATTATCCGTATCTAGCTGTAATAGATCCTAGAACAGGAGAATGTATAAGAAAATATAATCACATTACTACAGACAGCTTGATATCCGATCTGAATGACATTTTAAGTATTCACGCATCACCGGAAGGTGCTTCCAATGATGTAATCAGTCATAAATCTAATAACTTGTCATTACTCGAAAAAAGGAGTCAATTGTCAGAGACATCAAAAAGTGTCTGTATACCAATAGAACATTATTACGTTTATGCCATTTGTATGACTTTTATTAAAAATTGTATATTAATGTTATTTTATATTTTCTTTATTAGGATTACGCTTCGTGCAGTCAAAGTATAAGAAATGTAGCATTCAATAGAGATTCTGGTTAGTACTTTCTGACGTTATTCTTCTTTATCAAATGCATTAATTTTAAGTTTTATATTTTACAGATGCTACATGTAAACAACTGGATAGTCAACATAATAGTAATATAAATATTTCGAACAATAGTTCATGTATTTTGAGAAAGAGAAAACGACTCGACAATACAGATCAAAAGATTGAATCTCCTGATAGGGTAAAAAACTTAATTTTATACTAATACTAATGCTTGCAAGTATTTCTTTGATCGTGTTTTTTATTTTAACGAAATAAATAAATTGTTTCTATTTTTATGTGACTAGAAAGAAGCAGTGGTATGCAAGATGCAAGATGACAAAACCAATATAGATACTGGTTAGTAAACGAAAATTCCAAAATTATATATATATATACACACACACACACACACATTATATGCCATTATATTTGGCTATGCTACAGTATGGTCCGTATTAATACACATTTTCGTAAACATTTGTAATTAAATTGTAACAGTTGTTACTATCATACGTATATTTACTTCTCTTTTTATTTATAGATAATGACAAACCGCTTTTACGATTATGTTTACGACTGCCAACTGGTGACAAGGAAACACTATCCATGCGTGCTACTAATACTATCGAAGTAAGTGTTAAATGTTTTACCATCTTCTTTAAATTATATTATGAGATATATACTTATTATATTACTATGTAATTTAATATAATACTTATAAATAATTGCAGGATTTTCTGAAAATAATGGAAGACATGGGTTATCCACCAGCCGATTATACATACTTGGTCCCTTTTCCTAAGACAAATATTGGTATACTTGCAGTAAATATTCCTTTGATAGACACGATTTTATTTCCATCAAATACAGTATTCATAACAAAAACGTGAATATGTCTGTGCATAGTACCTTTATCTTAAATTATTATGTTGTAAATGATTAAATATTTAATATTTCTTGTCCAGATATCTCGCATTGTGAAAGATATTGAGTACCTTATCTTATACATGTTAAACATTGCCACGTCTCTAAATCTATATTGTTTTCTTACTTAATTATGTTAATATTTTACTTGCATTTACAAACGAAACTTTAATACAACCACTGTAATTATTACAAAAAATGATAGTTGTTGCAATACTTATATGCGTCCCTTTTAACGATTTTTATAGGTAAGTGAAAAAATGAACAAATTGAAAATAAATATGTGTAGAATGCGTTTCGAGAATCAAACATTCGAAAAAGTTGAATATCTGAATGATTCTTGCTGCTCATTCGCCCAACGCTATTCCGTGTAAGTATGAAAAAAAGTATGAAAAGTATTTTTTCTTTTCAGGAGCTATTAGAATACATTTCAATGAAGTCCAACGATGATGCTCCACCTACGTATCAATGGCGTTCCACTAGCATATCAATGGAGCTCCACTAGCGTATCAATGGAGTTCCACTAGCATATCAATGATGCTCCACTAGTGTATCAATGGAGTTCTACTAGCGTATTAATGGCATCCCGACAGCGTTTTAAGATGGCATTGCAAGGACACGAAAATCGACTGGCTGTTATGCAGATTAGCTGCACTAGTTTTTGCAGTCAATTGCAACAATCAGTAGGTATTATATTAGTAAAATATATATAGAACAAAATGTGTATGGAAAACTGACTAGAATCCAATCGAATGAATATTTTAATTTTGAGTTAATTAACAATAAGTTAACCCTTTGCACTCGATACCTTTTTGCGAGTGCAAAGGATTAATATCTTAAACAGGTAATGCAGTGTCCTGTAAAATTATTTGCTTAACGATATTTAGAGATAAGCGACATTGATTTCGACGTTTCCTTCTCATATTTTATTAAATTAAATGGTATGGCAGTAGGAAAATGATTAAGAAGATTTCCGAGTGAAATGAGATCGGATTAAAGGTACAATTAATTTCTCCATGTATTTCGTTTATATATTTACAATTTGACAACAAAAACATTAAACGTAACAGGCAGCCTCGCTCTCAACCGGAAGGTATATTTAAAGTATCTTTCTAATAGAGCGCGAGGTCAGCTAAAGGTCACATAAATATAATTATATCCGTCATAATAAATTCATTACAATATGTATCGTGTATAAATGTTCGCGCATGTGTCTCTGCGTAAGTGTAAGTGCGTGTATTGTGTGGCTGCACATATGTGTATTTCTGTATATATTCATATGTATATGTACATATATATATATATACATATGCATATATATATATATATATATATATATAATATATGTTATTTAAATTTCTTAACATCGTAAACTCTCCCGAGTAATGCCTTTCCGCATTCCTTTATAACGAATACTATATCCAGCGTTTTTAAATCTTTATTCTTTTCCTTTTCTTTTACTTTTGTATTTTTTGAATATAGTTAGATTGTCCATACTTGATGATATCGCGTAATCGCACTCGTGGCCCCCAGCCCTCTTTCTTCCACGAAAGATTTCTATGCTTTTTTTTATGCTTTTCTTTTTCATTCCGCAAAAAGTATCCAAGTATTTTCGTTTACGAAGTAGCACGATTATTCGCTAACAAGTCTCTCCTTAGTTTTCTTCTCTTATGTCTTATCGAAAAACACGTATTATACGTATTATACATATTTTTGATTTTGTCTTATTAATATTTTTTGTAATTTTGTGTCTTTTTTCTTCCTCTTATTTTTTGTCGATAAGTTTATGTACAAAAGTTTTGATTCGGCTTTTATTAGGTAAGTCTACATTCGATAGTTTTTCATACACATTTCGATCAGTCGCCTTTTACAACACTTTTCTCGAATCTTTTGATTGTTTATATTATCCCCTTAAATTTTTCTTTCGGTGTCTTGGCAGTGTAATACGCGTAACGGATTCTTATCCTTATCCTTTAATCTTATGTTTATATGTATAATCATATTTTTACAAAAAATTCACGAATAGCATATACATACATATACGGTGCGAGATAAACAGCTGGCCGTTCATTCTCATTTTGCATCGATCGTTACTCCAAGTGAATTTAAAATAAATCCAACCAAAACTTATGTACTCGCGTATTGGCGTTGATATCGATACCGTATGATGCGCCTACGAGGCAGTAGAAAGAAAAAATTCCAATATTTTTTCGATACGGTTGTTAATTAATCTTTTTAATAATACGAATTGAAATAATCATGAAAATGACAACTTTGTCATACATGTATCTCATAAATATATATTTATATATTTAATATACAATTAATGTGAATTTTCCCATATTGTATTAACATTAAAAATGAACTTATTTCTTTACCATATAATATTGATTTACTTATCGATATGTATCAATATTTCAGCGATATCTATGCATAGTACATAGGTGGTGGTATCGACGTTCACGCCTTTACGTGGTCATAGATTTTTGTAGCCTTTCGAAAAAGCTTTATTTTTGAATACAATCAATTGTAAATGATTCAAATCTGGCAGCAGTTAATATGGCAGTATTTAAAGTATTTTTACGAGGAAATATATTTACATAGAATTAAGAGCAAGTGTTCGTTTACGATAGAAAATGAAATATAAGATGGTAACAATCATTCGTTTCCCGATGAATTGCAACGATGCATCCACGACAGCTTTGTACACCCTAATAATACGTAAAATGATTTTTTGACGATCCAACATTTATAAATTATCGATTTTTCGATGGTCAAGTCGGGTGTGCAGCAAGGTCTGTAAATATAAAATAGATACAATCTTAACAGAGCGGTATTTTGGTAAAACACGCGCAGACGCTGTAATAAATCATAGGCATCGCGCTTCGGAGTGTCACTTCCCGTATAAATCATTGATGTGTTCGCGATAGGAGATAAATAATCGAGTAGACAAGCTTTTGCTTGTGACTTTGAAGGATCGTCTAATAGCCACGAGGAGAATCATTGTAGATGTACAAAGCCCTTTTCTCTCTCTCTCTCTCTCCTAGTTTATTACTCGCACACTCACACGCGCACATGCACAGTATCTTTCTTAATGTAGAAACGGAATACGAACGAAAAAACGATACGCTTTCAAGTTTTTCCTTCGCTCCTTCTTCTCCTTCTTCTCCTTCTTCGTCTTCATTTTCGTCTTCGTCTTCATTTTCGTCTTCGTCTTCTTAGAAAGTAGCAAACTTTGGCGGGTTTACGGTATAAAGTGTTACGTTATGTATTTACAAAGAACATCTAACATCGTGGTATGGGTAAGTCATTTATATGCGAATTTTTTCGCGTTTACTTTGATCTCTTTTCTCTGTTTTTTTAATTACCGAAGAGGAAAGGTATTTTTTGATCGTTCATACGCCTTTGAAAATTGTTCTCTATCTTCTATCGTGTGTTGTTGATACCTACACGGTATATATCCTGTTTAAGACAGTACATACGTATCTTAAGATAGATTTTAATTCTCAACTTATTTCCAATGCGAAAGAATTAAGATTTAGAAAAAGATTTAGAACAAAAACAATCTATTCTCGATTGGAGGATGCGCAGTGGCGAATCAAGTCAAGTGGGGCGGGAGGAGGGGGAGCGGACGGGATCCCAAGCGATACAAATTTTGGGTACTAATTAGGTATAAAGTGATTTAACATAGAAAATAAACTTATTAGAAAAACATCATTTTCGTGTAATCCGCTTAGGATAATTAGGATTAGTTTAATCTGCCACTGAGGATGCGTGTGACGGACTCTATATATTTATATCTATATTCGTGTATGTGTGTCAGAGCTTGGGAGATTGTTTTTGCATTTTCCTCTGTAGAATAGAAAACAATGAAAAATGTATATTTCCTCCTCTCTCTCGGAATCATTCCATTTGCAAAGTTTAAGCAAATTCGAAATATTATTGATGCAACAGCTTGCATCTATACAGAGAGAGAGATATATATATTTAGATTTTGAAGAGATGATTTAGGCTAATTGTAAGTTTGATTGTTTGTCCTTTCGTCCAAGTAAGCGATCGATGATAAGTTAAATCGATAAGTTCGATGTCGAATAACGAAATCGCTGATGATGTCGCAGATTAGTTTTCCTTCCAATTATATGAATAAAATTCCTATTTCTTTACGCATGACGCGTAGGGCGCGAAAGTACGTAAAGTGGTTGCTTCTTTCTCCCCCCCTCCCATCTCCTCGTCTATTTTTTGATTAGCAAGACGAGAAGTCTTAGAGCAAGGTCGACGCCGTTAGGACGTCCGGGACGACCGGCTTCGGAGGGGGGTCTAAGCATCAGACTCGCATTTCGCTCATCGTTGCTTGCGAGACGCGACTCGAGACGGTTGTACTTTGCAAAAGGGGTTGGTTTTCTGGAGGACTCTTCGCACGGGGTGGTGGTGGAGCACGCGGTACTGTCAGGTGTATAGATCCGTTCGGTGGTCCCTGAAAAAACAAGGAAACCAAGGAGAAACATAGATTTCGTCAACCTTTCAATATTATTTATTCGCGTTATTAGCTAATGTGCTCGCTAATATTCTAATGGTTCTTTCGCTTACTTGAGTTTGCGCATTTATGTCCTGCATTACCGAAGCACGAGGAAGCGTGGCGTGTTGTTGCTGATGTTGCTTTTGGTAATGATGTTGATGTGGCAGGGTGTGTGTGCCTTGTAAAGTGTTAGGCTCGTTCGGAGGTCCTTTCATCACGTTTCTAAAGGGAAAATAAAATATTAGGTCATTTGGTTATCTCAATGAAATCTCAAATGAAATTTTTCGATTGACCTTCTTAGCATTTCATTTTCAACGTCGACGATAACTTGACCGCTACCAGGGAAATGCGAATGCGACGAAGGTGGTTGTTTCAACTCGGTGAAACCGCGCGGGCCACACTGTTGATTCAACATCTGTTGCTGCTGCAGGCTCTTGACCTCGAGTCTCGTCTTGTCTCGTTGATAATAGACACCGGCGAATATGAGAACGTTCAATATAAGTAGACTGCAGCCGATCGCTATCGTCACGCTCAATGCTGTCGAATATGCGGCGTACCTGAAAGAGATAATTACAAAATGATAGACCATGTTTTCTATTAAATAAGAAAAATAAATATCATACAAACAAATCTCATACGAATGTCTTTGATACCGACTGCATACGGTACTGTGTGCGGTTATTATTAAATAGAATTAGGTTAAGTAGTTCCTTCCTATTTTTTTGATGCGAAGAACTAATGGGACAATGTAATAGATAAATTCAATAGGTTTTTTACCCAGCTGCATCGAGACTGGCCAAAGTGTCGGTGCTGGCGTTGTGCATATTTTGAAGATTCGTGCTTTGAATAAGACTGACGCAGGTAGTGATGCTGTAATCGGTTGTGGTCGGTGGTTCGGTGCTTAAATTCTTTCTTTTAAATTCCTCGGTGATCCTACTCAAAGGATCGGGCCTGACCAAACCGTCGTAAAGGCTTGGATCGGCGTGTCCTCGGAACAGATTGTGCCTCGAATCAACGTCCTCCATTCCTGCGCGATGAAGTTCCGGTACGAGTCTTAGCCAAACGGAGAGCTGATGAGCTCGATAATGATTTTTCACTTTCGGCCTCATTCCTAAACAAACAAATTCGAGTAATTTCATCGAAATTATCCTTTAGGATTTCCAAATCCTATCGATGAAATCCAAATGAATTATTTTTCACGACAAATTTGCAGCTTTAACGAAACTTGACAAACATGAGATTTATTAGAATCGAAGGTCGTTATTGAATTTTCGATGTATGCTTTGCGATACAATTTAATCGAAGAAATATACGAAAAAGCAAAGTGTACTTATCGGATTAATTATAAGCGAAGTATGCATTATGGCAATTGATGATTTATAAAACAAAGAAGATTATTTTATCGCATTACGACACCGGGTTATATTTTAAACGATAAAAATTGAATTTTCACTTCCGCGAATGATAATTTAATCGTAAAAAGCTACTTGATAACTCGCAATATTCTAGATAATAAATCTGTTTTCGTTATGAAAATTATACGCAAATATGAATCATCAAGACTGCCGTGCGATATCATTCGACTGAATTATTTATAATATACAGGAAGTCCATCTAGGATATATTTAATATAAATAATGTAATACCTATATATTTGTTTGACTGTTTCAACAAAATTTGTTTAATCTTCTAACAAGATTTGAAGAGAGATAATCGACGTCGTTGACAACTTGAACTATTAATCAAGGAGCATAGGCCGAACGTAACGTGACGTTAACGTGTACCGATCGATTGTGGTGCTGTGGAAAATTTAATAGAGGAAATCGCTTGAATATAAACCACAAGCTGATATTGTTGTTCGACGAGTTTGTTACTCATTGACAGAATTGTCTAAAGCAAACGAAGGAAGGATGATTTGATTAAAGAAACCTTTTTTATTTCCTTAATATTTACTTGCCATTTAAATATGTATGTACTATTTCATATTATTCTCTTTGCTATTTCAATAAGAGATACAAATTATTTTTCATTTACGTACACGCGTCGTTCATTTGTGTTGCGTTATAATTCGTAATAATTTGTTCAGAATTTTATTGACAGGAGTCAAGTTTTCCTTTTGTTTTTATTACAAATTCAACGAAAATGAAAAGAAATTTGCCGATAAGAAAGCTGCGATAGATAAAAATTCGATAACATATATCTATAGAAGCAATCTTGTTTATAACAATGATTTCGATCAGTATAAAAGTCTTCTTTTTTTCAGCAATTTTATCAGTCAACGTTCAGACATTCGGACAAAACAAAGTTTCCTTAGAATGGCGGGTAAGTTGTATTTTAATATCTTAACATATTAAAGGATACAGATTATATTTATGTCTATAGAATATTTGGATCATTTTTCAAAAGAATGTACTCTTACAAGAGTACCATAATATTTTGTCTCGTAGATGCTTATTTATCTCTAAACGCTTTTATAATCCGTTTTAGCAAGTTACCAATTGATAATTGTGTTCACGATCAGTGTGATCACTGTGTACGCTTATAATCCTGGCGAGAAGCCGATAATTCCAATTCCGACAAAATGTCCGGAAGTAGATCCATTCAACTATACCGTACACATTGCTCATGAGACAAATTGTTCCAAATTCTATAAATGTTTCAACGGGGAAAAATACGAAATGGAGTGTCCGAAATACCGGAAGGGTCTACTTCATTTCAATAAACTTTTGCAAGTTTGCGATTATCCTAAATCTGCTGGATGTCAAGACAACAACAAGGGGCATACCGATGAAAAATTAACAATGAAGAATGTCAAGGAGGATGTCTTCTATGATGCAGAGAAATATGCCGATAAAGTCGAGGTAAATTTGATGTGCCCAGAAGGTGCCCATGGTAAGAAATGTTCTTGCCAATGTTCTTGCAATCAAAATTATGAATGTCAACATGGAAAGCTCGTGGCACGAGAGATGTCTTAATAAGAATTATCGATTCATAAAAATAAAACAAAATCTATGAAAATATTTCAATTTCTTAACGAAGAGATAAATAAATTTTACAGGAATCGTTCATTATTTTGTCATATTTGCAAATATGTAGCAAATGAATAAAGGCAAAATATCCAGATATTTCATTGTTAATAAAAGGTACATGCAAAAGTATGTCATCTAATAATAAGAATGTAATATTATTATCTTTAGGCTAGATAAAGGAAAAAATAGTTAGGGAATAGTTAGGGTGCAATATTACGGGGCGCGTTCGTTTATTAAAACATAGAAAAAGGGCGATAAAAAAAAGTGTTGGTAATTAAATTCTCTTGAGGACCGTTCTGATTCATTTTAAAAGGTCGTTTTGGGTGGCTTGATCGCGATAAAATAGGGAGTCCTCGCGTATCGTCCTTCGTCCGTGTCTACGCAAACTTTCTCTCCTGCGTTTCTCCAATTAAATTCAAATTATATAAAGGAAAGAAATGAGTCGGAATATCGTTTACCAATGACACGCGCGGGATCTGTCCTACGGTACGAGAGGAACGTCTTTTGAATTATTAAATATTACAATATGTACGTTGTCCTCTAACAAGCTGCCCCGAATTAACGATTCGAATGCCAGCTAATTTCCTAATTAGAAATAACTTTAAACTTTAATCTTTACGGTTACACACGAAAAACTGCGACCCAGCCTTTTTCCTTTTATTTGACTCTTCCTGCGATTTAATTGGTCAAACTATAGCCGTCAGTTTGGAACAACTACCACGTAACTTTTTTCTATCCTTTTTTTGCGTCTCCGATTCCTTCTCGGTCGTAGGATATAAATTCATTATGACAAAAAAGAAAGAACATTTTTCCCCTTTAATTAAACCCTTTCCAGTCAGATTAACAACAACGAAGATAACGCGCCAGTGCAATTTTATGAATATTTTCTAAAACAAGTCTATTAATTAATGACGTTTCAGATAGTAACGGGGCTTCCCGACGAATAATATGAAAATATTTGTTGTTTCACGGATTTTATATATATGTTATATTGCTTGCTAATCTTCTCATCCAATGATAAGTACTTTGGAAAGTAGATTATCTAAGGAATTTAGATGGAACGCTTGCAACGGTTGTACATCACTCTCTCGACATTCGTGGTTTTGGTTGATGCGAGGAAGAAAGAGCGAGCTTTGTACTTCGATTCGAAGCTATCTCGAAACGGATTACTGATCAAGGAGAAAAGCCGGGGATCAATCGTAAATCGAAGACTTAGCTTCAAATTTGATTCCTTAAAAAACAAAGCAAAATGTTAATAACTATATTAACGTATGAACGAACGAATGAAAACCGAAACGAATAGTCGATTGCAATGGGAATCGTCAAAGTTTGACATCGAATGCAGCCGCGCTAGGCGTGTGCATGCGTGTGCGGGTGCATGCGTGTGCGGGTGCATGCGTGTGTTGTATTATCGCGTTCATCGTTGCGGTTGTTCTCCTATCCTCTCGGATCACTCGACGCAAAAGCCACTGCGAAGGAGGAGGAAGTTTGTAACGTGTCGACCGCAGCACATGTCACGAGAAACATATAAAGCGCAACACCGAAAACGGTGTGTCGTTGCTGATACTCGTTCGGCCTGCACTCCACGTTCGAATTAATTTGCATCTTTCGAAAATACAAGAACGCAATTGCATTCGAGCTTTCCAGTGAATCCTTTCATTACCGTTGACCATTCGCTCGTACCTGCCTATCCTCTTACTCCTTGCTAAGGCAATTCTTCTTATAAAAAGGATAGATACAACATGGTACTAGTTGACAAAGTTACATACGATCGGTCGAACTTTAACTTTGCGTAATAATAATTTTCCTTTGTAATAAAAAAGCGAGTGCATTAGCGCGTTATCGTGGAATACTTTGTTCGTAGTTAAACAAGGGGGTGGGGTCGATATCGGCGCTGCGGTTTATCGATTATCCGAGTTTATGTGTAACTTCAACTTTTACACTTTGCGTGCAACGTTGTGTATAACTGAAGTAGACTTGAAAGTATCGAAGCTTTAGCTCCACAGTTGTCGCGAATATCTGCCGATGATGCTTTATGATGCCGATGATGGGAGGACGAACTTTGAAGACTTTCAGAAAATACTTTTTCCTTTAAAAATAATCGCAAATGTTCGGAAAATATAATTTTCGATTTTCCCAGGAGAAAGAAACAACTTGTTCATTGAGAGAAATCAATAGGATTTTGATCGACGCTCTGTCCCTGGTTGTCATTAATCTAGAAAAGAATAAAAAAGAATCGTAAGAAAAGATGAAAGTTAGATGGCGTCGATCGAGATATCTTCTTAAGTGGAAAGAAATGAGACGGGTCTGTCCCGGGTTCTCTATCTCCTTGCGTGTATACGAGCAAAGGAAAGGAGAAGATGTTTCCCATAGGTAGCACCCCCTTCGACGTTCCTTTTAAGGGGAAAACGATCGTCGTGCAATCTGTCGAACGTGTCACTCTCGCGAGGGCCGATAGCAGATTGCGAAAACTCGGAAAAAGGGCCCTCTCTTCGAGGAAATAGATGGTACTTACCTATCCACCCACCTATATCTCCGATCTACCGTTAATTAATCATTCGATCGACGTCTCGAGGAAAAAATATATATCTTCCAACGCCAAGGAAAATAGCATTAGGGTATGACGCTGATCTTGGCGCAACTCGCAACCCACAATCCGTTTTTTTCATGAGTGAAACGAAATGGTAGGATAGAAGCATACTAGCTATGCAGTTCATCGTTGCCCGACTTCGAGTAAATTCGATGTAACAGGAATTTCTCCCACCGATTCAAAGTTAAATACATAGATTGGCAGCAACGTTATCATCACCTTTTCCAACCGATATCGTCCTTTGGTATTTCGTTCGCATGAGAAAAGGTACATAAATTAGCTGAGCGTGCATAGCATCAAATATCGCGTCATATACATACGTAGGTAATACGTCAATTCCTATCGTTTTCGTTAGACCTATCGTTGGAAAAGATATTAATTATTATCTATCTAAATTTACTTACCGATTTCGAGATATTTTTGATGTGTTGGGTCGTATTGATCCCACGTGAGACTCCTAAAACGACTTTTTTCCCTGCTGGCAGGTAAAAGCCCAGTGTCGTTTCTCGTGTGATGATCGACGCCATTTGGATTCCTGCAAAGCACAATCAATTTTATCTTAAAATAATGTAATAGAAGAAAGTGCATAGGAAACCGAGGTTCCACTGTATATGCATAAAGAATAGTTTCTATTTCTGACATACTAACTAACTAACTAAAGACGCTGTAGAAAAAAAATGACTTTTGTAATTGGATTTTAATGAAATAAGGTCGTGTCTAAGGTATATATAACGGGTATATAATAAATCTCTTGGCATAACCGGATGGCGAATATCACATAGCAGGATAGGTTCGATCTAGGTAGGTAAAAGAGAGTTATCATCGAGCGAGATGCATAGATATAGATATAACGGAGGACGCATCCATCCTCTGGGACCCGTTCGTGGCTTTTGCCAGCAGCGTTCCTTCGAGGGCCGGAAGTAATACACGCTTTAGCTCGTTCCGTTTACATTAGCCTTCGCTCGGTATACCCTCGTCCCTTTGCTAAGGCCCTTTAGCAACAGCCTTTACTTTCAGCTCGCACTTTCGACATCCTTTGAGGGTTTAGTCTTCTCCCTCCCTTCTATATGTTATCTTTCTTCTTTGTCTTTTGCGTTGTCTCGTTCTTGCCTTTTTCCAAAGTTACGGCGATACCCTTTGTAATTAGTTTAAGGGTTTCAAAGCTTCTCTCAACGTTCATCTCTCTTTCGCTCTCTCTTTCCTTCTTGCCTTTTGCATTCTCCCTTCCGTCAAGACATTTTTTCCAAAATCAACAATTTTCCTTTTAATAATCATTTTACCAAGTTTTATCGTGTGTCTTATCTTTCTTATTCTCTTTGATTATTACTTTCTCGTGTAGTTCATGCGTCGCAAGAAAGTACATGTTCCTACCGAATATATTCTACGCGATGATGTATCTCAGAATATGCTTAGCTTCTTAATTAGTTCGGTAAGAGGGAAAATGCTAAAATATAATTTCCGACTATAACTTCCTATGTAATATTATGCTCTTGTTATTTGCTTTCCTGTCGAGAAAAATGAAATATTTTCTAGTTCATACCTCGATTGGTACTGCACGCAGTGCATACGAAGGTACGCAAGGTATTAGGAATAAACCTTTAAATAGTCGAATATAAAAATGATCCGCGTGTGCGAGTTTGAAAGAAAGGTTCTCCGCATTTAAGGAGTTTAAGTGCATATTCATTAATCTTTTCTCCCCTCCTAAAGATTTACTTCTTCGAAAGGTAAACTCGGTAAAATTCGAAAGTAGGGCATATTGGGGTGAGTATTTTATTTAAACAGAGTTAACCATATTAATCTTCAAGATTTTATCTTGCGTCCTAAGAGTCAGATATTTCCGGCTATTTTCTTGTAATTTTGCGGTCTTAAAATGTTTCCTTTCTCTCCATATCTTTTTGAAAGGAGAACTCGGAGAGACAACTAGAGGAAAGGAGAGAGAGAGAGAGAGAGAGAGAGAGAGAGAGAGAGAGTAATAAAACTTTGATTACGCTGTAATCTTTCTCCCTTGATGTAACGCATAAGCAGAGAAGAGTTTACCCCACGGGCTAAACTTGGCCGTAGTTTCCGATGAAATCCTATTGTATTTTACCTTGATAACTATTACGGTACGCGAACGTGCTCGTTCCAGCGAGAAGTAGAAAATGAAGATTCTTTCATCTTTTATTCGTTTATTCGTTTATATGGATATCAAGTTCCTGCTTTTATAACTTCAATTTCGAGATAAGAAATCTGCTAAAGAATTTCAAATGTTTCCGACTAACATTTAAATCAAGGAATTGACCATATTTACTTTTCCGAATTAGTTGGCAAAAGAAGCTGTTAGCTAATTATATTTTGTATATTATAAATGGGTTATCGCGTTAATAGTTTGGTAGGAGCTTAATATATAGCTTAATATATAGCTTAATATATAGCTTAATATATAGCTTAATATATAGCTTAATATATAGCTTAATATTATATAGCTTAATATATGTAGAAGGAGAATGTAGTCTTAAAGACAAAGGACTTGGACGAGGTTGCATTCCCAACGAGACTATCGGATAAGGTATAACAGTAAGGATCGTGTAACCACACGACCGAGAATAATCTATAATGCAAGGGCAAGTTCGGTACGCGATCGTCCCTTCGGTTCCCGAGCTCTGCTCAATGAGACATTATAAAGCTCTCTTCGGTTCTAGATCTTCGTCTTCTACGAGCCGATGTTTCAGCTAACATAATTCTACGCTTCTACGGTAGATTCCTTGTCATTCGACGAGCCTCTCTCGCACACGGATACGCATGGGTGCGCACGTGCTTACAAGGAAACGATTAAACAGCTATGCTAAAGCTTCCCACTCTACTCCTTTCTCAAGAAACATCCTCTACTCGAGTACGATCAACGTGATGCGACACCTAAACTGAATACGTAATAATCCACGAGTTTAGAATAAACACGCGATCGTGCATTTAACGCGGACTGCATTTAAACCTCTTTACATTTTCTACCGGGTCTCGTTTCGTTATAACTTTATCGTATAATTAATTCGACAAATTGACAGTTGCAAACAATCGGAATGATGTACAATATATGAGGGTTCACAAGTCCAACGTCAAAGTTGTTGAAAAATCACCGCGCCTCCATGCGTTCATTCGAAAGCTTTCGGTTACCAATCGTAAGCTGAGAATGTGGCTTATTTCGATTGTTCGCGACTCGACAAATGACTTCTTTTCTCGAGCGAGAAAAAGGATAGAAAAGGAAGCGAAATCGCGCCGAAATTGAAGCTCGAAATATGAGACCGCGAACGTATAAAAGCTCCTGCTGCTTGTGCACTTTCGAGACGAAAAGATGAGATGAAGAGTGGGAGAGAAAGAAAAGGATAAGAGTTGTACGTACAGAGCCCTTTAAAGGTACACCAGAGTAAAAGAATTTTATACGATATATTATAAATACGACATATTTCTGTAAGTAGTTTTGCGACATCTTTTATAATAATCGTGTACAAATGAAAATATAATATAGCATTTGTTCGACGAGAATTCTTTTTTAATCATATTTTCAATTATGGAAGCAATGCTGACGTATTACGACGTCTATAAAGAGATCAATATTTACGCTTGAACACTTTTCTTCATTGAATGTATAACTTTGTTAATGTAACGGTGAACGTTCAATTATTAACAATTGAATAATATGTATGTATGTATTTGTGTATATAAATGAAATAATTCCTACCTTATATTCTTGCATAATCGTAGAAACAATACGTTTAAATATTTATTGCAATCGCATAACACTGTTAAAGAGATTTACAGTTTCGTTTATCTCGATTTGCATTATTGATCGTCGTTTTTCGTAAGGCAAATATAATAGTTTGCTGTTTGATTCGTTTAATCGATGCCATTTGGGGATTACCTATTAGAGAATATGGAAAAATTAGCAAGGTACTTTTGTCAAAATGGGTGGAAACAGGTCACGAGAAACAGAAGGCGTACTATATGCATATGTATATAAATCATGTATCGGTCGGTAGGTATGTGCAATATGCGGCACCTTGTTAGAGTATAGAATAACAACTTTACTAATACATAGAAATTCTGATTTATCCGTGCTATGCGAGATAAGCTAGTTATGTATTCTTACGCGTCGCATGCGCTTTTCAGCCTACAAATCGATTTTTTACACACTCCTATTAGACCATTAATCCAAAGAATAAAAGGATAGCAGTAACAGGAGTAACGGGTAATACTCTTCTTCGATTTCGCGAAAGAAGAAATGAAAGTGATTGCTTTTAAGAAGGCTTTTCGAATAACAACATGAAGTACAATTATTTACCTCCGTTATCGTATATGCGAAATAGTTTCAAACGCAGATCGAAGGAATATCTTTTAGAAAGTAGTTTACATGGTGTACCATACTTTGCCGATCCTACTCGTCCAAAATTGGAGAGGTAATTTTGACAAATCATAATTATTAATCATGATTTATCAATCATTTATTATTTGTCTCCTTTTTAGAGGACTATGGTTTTTGTTAACGATAGCGTCGATCGTCGCAACTATCATCACGATTAAGATCATTTGGGATAAGTTCCAAAATAATCCAACTTTAACTGAATTAGATGACCACGTGGACGAAGCGAAAATATCATTCCCACAAATATTTCTCTGTTTTGAAGGAAATCAATTAAATTTGTCTGGTATTAATAATGTAGGAAATTTTGATATCGCGATATTTGTGATCGCTTGTCGTTCTAGGAATATATTATTATTGACTAAGTTCTTCGTCCATAGCTTGAAAAAAAGTATTATGTCCAAATATACGAATGGATGTGGAACGAAAAGATAAACGATGAAACGAAAGAAACCTTGTCCGGTATGACAAATTTCCGCAATGTCTTTCAACGATTGACACCTCGATGCGATTCTATATTAAATAATGCTATTTTCACGTAAGTCAAGTAACACTTTTAAACATTGGCTTTTATTTATTTTTCCTTCACAATCGATTGACTTTTTCTTACTTTTCTTTTTCAGAAATAAGAGACATAGTCGGGGAAAGGATTTTAAAAAGATTGTCACACCTGCTGGAGTATGTTGCAAATTTAATTTCTCTAAGCTCATAGTGCACGAAGATATGCCATTTGAATTTCATGTGAAATCTCTCTTGTTTCCACTAAAGTGACGTATATCCTTCGTTTACAGAAATATTTTCATGTTCTTAATGCGATTATGTTTTTTTATTTGTCTTTTTTTTCTTCTTCTAGACTTTATGTAGCAGACAAGTTCGACATAGGACCTAGTCGTAACATTATGCCTCACATCAAGCTTAGAAAACCTTCATTTATGCAGCTTGACGTATTTCAGACTTACGTAACTCCGGATTTCCAAATGTTATCGGATTTTCAAAGACAATGCCATTACCGCAGAAAGCAATGGTCTTACAATAATTGTCAATTGCGTTGCCGAATTAAGGATATATCGAAAAAATGCAATTGTTTACCATGGTTTTTGATTAAGAAAGGAGTCAAAGAATGTTCGCTCGACGAATATTCTTGTTTAACGAAGGTATATGACAATTACATAGATTGTAAGTGCATATTACCATGTAATTTTACAGTATATCGATTATTGGGAACGAAAGAGGGCTTCGTGAACGATACGCTCAATTTATCACCGACCAAAATTACTTTAAACTGGCCTAACATGTTATTTCGTAGAGAAGTTCGTTTTGGTTATATGGACTTGGTGGTCAGTTTTGGTGGTATAGCTGGATTGTTTTTAGGTTACTCCTTATTGTCTACTTTTGAATTGTTCTATTATTTAAGCTTCCGTACGTATTGCGGAGCTGTATTAGACTCGTCACGAAAAAGTCATAATATTGTTAATGTTCGTTCGAAAAAAATTACATGTACAAATCGGCTACTTAAGTCAGACATCAAGTTTATATTTTATAATAACTTTGATCACGATCAAAAATCTTATTAAAAGTAGGGCATTAATTGGGGTCTATTTTAATTATTTAATTATTAACAAAAAGAAAAGTAATGTATCATTTTGTATTGTGATAATCGCCGGTATTTAAGCCGCTTGCCTTGTAATGTTGCTCAAGAATGCAAGAGAGGAAAAATGTTTGGTGGTTGGTTTACGTAAATAATGGTTTGAACAAAATATATTTGAATATTAAAAGTAAAGTATTAATACTTTTAAAGGGAGAGTAGAATCAATTAGCTATAAAGCGATTTTGATAGCAGCAAATAGTGATTAATCAATGAGGAGATAATTATGCAAGTGTTAATATCAGTAACTAATAGATTTTATAATCTACCAATCATTGCATGTGATTATACCAGACATATTATAATACGTTAAATAAAAGTAATAAAAATATCTCATTTTCCTCGAGCACTAATAAAAAGACATTTGAATACTAGGAAATTCATTCTTTATTAAGTACAATTCTCTTTTATACGATTGCTTTCTTTTCTGCGATACGACAAAGTTTTTAGTCTATATTGTTTTCATTTTATTCATTATTTTTAGAATATTTACAGGAGACGTGTATACTTGATAAGAAAGTAGAATTGACTTTTGATTTATTTAATAAAGAAATTATCATATCAAATTTGGCTAACCTAGTTAAGAAGAAAGACGAGTTACGTATGTGTGACGACAGGCTTGTGTGCGTGAAATATAAGAATTTCCATGTGGTCACGTGACGTCCGAAATGCAAGATTGCAAATGTTCAGCCAATCAGCGTTCATTTCATTTCGTCCGTCGTGGAAATCACAAGTGAGTTTTGTCGTTCCATTGATTTCAAGTAATTAAAAGATATTTTCTAACGTATAGTGTGTGTGTTGTGTCTTCTATTGTATATTTAACGATAGCAATAAGGAAAATTGTTATACGTGAGTGTTTTTACAACGAAATATTAAAAAGTTCGAAAGATATCCGTGAAAACGAAATCTGTGTTTCTCGGTTTGCCGCCAAATCCAATCCAAGGTATTACTCGACAATATATTTCCTAATTTTCTAGCTTATTTTCACGATATCGATACTATCTTTAATGATTAATTTTCATTGTTTAGGATACTAACGAATGTATTTCGATAATTTTTATGTTGCTATATCCTATTTTATATCTTTCAATATATTTTTTTCTATATTGAATTAAAAAATTATTATTTTTTAGATGGTGGCGCCATCGTAGCAAGCGGTCTCGATCGGTACTATTCATTCGAAAATGCATCGTTACATCATCTGCCAGTGCTTTCAAGTGACAAAGTTTTTTCGTTTTCCTAATTAAAGGTAATTTACTTATTGTTTGAGCGTGCAATATTTTATTATTATAACATACATATATAACACTCGTATATTTGATTTTATTTATATTATGTTAATGTAATTTTATTTTTTACTTTTTTCAAGTTTTCCAGCATTGGAAAAAGACAGCACGAATGCATATACTCAGTCTAACAATTGTGTTTAGTCTTTTTTATCTTCATATTCATCGAGGTAAGCGTTATTCTTTTTTTAACCTATATAGAAATGTATAAAAAGAGTGAGAACGAGAGTGTGTGAGAAAGAGAGAGAGAAAGAGAGAGAGAGAGAGAGAGAGAGAGAGAGAGAGAGAGAGAGA